TATCACATAGTTTATCGAACTTGAGCAAAATATCCCCCAAGGAGGATGAAAGGCAGAAATCGTCAAAACAAGCCTCGGGGGTGAAATAGTTTGCACAGCCCCTATCGTCCATCTGGCGGTAGATGAAAAATTGGGCTAACAAACATATGATAGTTTCCCCCCAGGTAAGTCAAGCATGTCCTTGAGACAAAGGGCGACCATGAACTATCAACCAGGTAAGAAAAATTGCCTTTGGTTTAAGCAAAACTATGGATTTTAGTTAGTCCCAATGCTTTGATGTCGAAATCTGCACTGAAGTAAAATTCGAGCTGTGCAGCCAGAAGTCCCGAAGAATTGTAATGAAGGCTGCAAATCACAAGCCAACAAGGAGTTGGGGCCGCTGTATCTTGAGGTACATCTGACAACCGCCCTATTACGAAAATCTTAAGAACATTCAATGATTAAAAGCTGGGCTTCGTAGGTGGACAAGGCTGATAGTGAGTAAAACACAAAAAACCAACATACCGAAATGCAAAACGTTCGGTAGTGTTGAAAAGTAAAAACTGCAGTAAATAATAAACCATGAACGAATGCACAAAGAAACCATCTTATGCCGAACTCGAGAGACCTCTGATATAGTTGTGCATTTACGTAGCGCTCTTCTGTTGAAAGGTAACAGGCACTATATACTTATGACAGTGTTTTCAAGTCAGTTTACTGATGAAAAGTCAATGGATTTCGGGGGTTCAAATCTGATAGAGACGCCGAGTTTTTCACAGATGGGTCAAAATAAATGATGAAAATTTGTCTGCGCCGTTGCCGACTGCATCTCCGTCGTAAAATTCGGGATGCCTTGAAAAAAAATAAATGCTTCGCAACAGCTGAAATATATTTGCAACAAATTTGAATAAATATGCAAGCGGAAAGAGCGAAACCATGATTTGCACGCTTACTGTTACGTTAGTCCATACAGATTATGTTTGAAGCTCCTGTGATGCCAAAAGCACGATCTCTGCTGCCTTTTATTTACAAAAAGACCTCCCATACATTCGGTTTTATGTGGTGAAAGCTATACTTCGTATAATCGAACTTATTTTCGTAAATCGAACTTATTTTCGAATCACATCTCGCCAGTCTATTAGTTGGCAGTTTTAAATTATGGTTAATGAATTCAATGCATCTATTCTTGTTAGGCAACTAAAGAGAGGCATAAATCTTTCCCATTAATCATTGACAGCTTTATTTTGTACTTGGTAATACAGCCATTGGCATTATCGACACCAAAATTGCAATTTCTGGGACGCATGAAAGACTCTTATAATTAAATTTTCCACGGTCTCAGGACCCCCGTGACGTATGCCAAGTGCACTTTTATATCTTTTTCGAATTTCTTAAAGTATTTTTCTTAAATAAAGTTATTGTGCGCCTAGATGTTTCCCCGCCCAACACCACTCCCCGACCGAATCCCCAAACCAGAACGTGACAGCAAGGGCGGAAGAAAGAAAGTTTATTAATGTGTTCCTTCAGGTCGTATAAGACGGTCAAAAGATCATACAGAACGTCCGCCATTGGCCTGAAGTTAGACTAATAAAGTAGTGCTTTTGGGTGGTTAGCATACCGACTGGATTCTGCTTCATTTTACTAATCGAGTAGTCCCCGGCTCTGTCCGGAGCTGGCGCGATATCAACGTGCGCATGGAGTGTGAGAGGATCGTTTGGACAGCGCGTGAGTAAAATGCAGTTTAAAGAAAAAAATAACAGGAAGCCAGTATTGTGGAGAAAAGAACTGTATCACAAAGAGAGTCGACTATCTGACAAGGAACTAAATCATGAACCATGGTTATAAAAATGTGTCGGGAATTCGACAAGAATTTGCAACAAAAAAGCAACGTTGAACTCACAATTTCTCTGCAGCTCTTCCCGATAGAGTACAAAGAAAGACATCAAATTCTATTTATAAGGACTACGGATGGCGTTGAGATTACTGAAAGCAGGGAGTAGGCTATGCATCTTTTACAGTTTTTCCAGTCGGTCAACATTAACGAGGCAAGGTTTCTTCCTCCCTCCACAGAAGAAGTGCTGGCTAAAAGAATAAGCGATATACTTTTCTCAGGGACGAAACGAAGTCTCCGGGAACAGAAAGACTCCACCCACACTTCTCGGAGAACTTCCTGATGGGTTTCCTATACCTCTGTCGATTCTCCGTCTGACGGGGTATGGCACTTGAACACTTCCTGTCAATTGGAAGTTGGTGCACATAATTCCAACATATAAACGCTGTAGCAGAGCATATGCTTGACATGTATTCTCAACAAAGTTATGGACAGGACTATGAACAGAGTACTGATGCAATACCTGGAAGTTCACAACTTGCTATCGAAATTCCAACATGGGTTGCGGAAAAGAAGCTTCTATACGACAAACGTCTTGCTAAACCCGAGCTCCCGACAACCAGCATGCGGCTAACATCGCTTTTACTAGCTTTCAAAAGTCGTTTGACATTAAACCACACCAGTGAATGCTATGTAAGCTGAAAAAATAGGAACCAAAAATAACACCCTCAAATGCAGCAAAAACTTCCTTGTGGGTCGACAGTGGGTTGTCTGCATCGGACAAGAGAAATCAGGTCCCGCTGTGGTAGAAAGTTGTGTTCCCCAGGGTTCCTCACTGAGACCTATTGTATTTTTAATCTACGTGGACGATTGCGCAGGCGATTTTGATTCCGAGACAACAGTGCTTGTTGACGACATGAAAACATGGAGAGAAGTCCGTGTCCCTTTCGACGAATACAGACTGCAGATCAGCCTAAGTCCGTTGGAAGAGTGCTCTAACCGTTGAATCAAGCTCTTCAACGGCGGTAAGTGTACCATACTTCGCCCAGGCAATTCCTCTCGACAGGCCGGCATGAGAGATTACTTTCTTGACTGTGCAGTCTTACGAGACGTCGAAGGCCAAAAGGGCCTAGGTGTGCTGACGACCTATTCCCTAAAACAATCTGTTCATTTTTCGAGAGTGATAAAAAGCGTAATGTCTGTACAGTACGCCATCAAGAGTACATTTGTGGATTTTCATAAAGACGATTTCCAAAGAAGTTTCGGAACATTTGTGCGGCCGCGCTTGGAATACGGCATACAAGTTTGGAGATCCTGGGCGATTCAAGATCAAATTTTCCCAAAAGAGTCAAAAGGAGAGTCAACAAAATAGTTTTCCTCTTCCCGGGTCCTCCTCAAATGTTTTTCCACCTAATGCTGCATCTCTAGCTAGTAATTACCCCCATAAATTTTAGACCGCAGCAGCTTTGTCCTCCACCAATTGCTTCGTTCCAACAGCTTAATTTTTCACCTCCAGCTCTTCGTTTTTTATAAGTAGCAATGAGCGGAACCTACATATTAGGAATACGCTCAGTATTGTCTCTCTCAACGCAAGATCTGTCGTGCAAAAGATGGCACACCTAAGAAGTGTAGCTGTTGAGTTTGACACAGACATATTGTGCATTACAGAATCTTGGGCTCACTCTCTAATTTCAGACTCGGCACTTAATATAGATAGCCTCAGTTTATACCGCCAGGACCGTGCCGACAGACGCGGCGGTGGATGCCTTCTTTACATAAGAGCATCACTTGCACAATCGCCTTATAACTTGAACATTTCCTCCTTTCCTGGAAATTTATGTTTTGCTTCGGTAGTCCTTCCGCAAAATAGGAAAGCCTTAGTCGTATGTGTATAAAATCCTCCTTGTTTCTCCGGAAATGAAAGCCAACTTTGTGAACTCTTTGAAAAAATTTCAGAAACTTCTTTCGATGTCAAGATAATCGTAGGCGATTTTAATTTGCCAGAAATTGACTGGCACACATACTTCTCCTCCTAAATTCCAGAAGCTGCTTGACACAGTTTACTTTTCAAACCTGACTCAATTAGTTTACTCTTCGACCAGAAACGATAGTGTTTTAGACTTAATTTTTACTAATGGCACCTTCCCTTTATCTATGGATTTTTATCATGACCTCTTTGCAAGTGATCATGCATTAATCCATTGTCGCCTTCCAGTTGCCATTTCCGCAAAGCCAACAGTTCAACGTAGTATTTTTGACTTTGCTAATGTTAACAAGGAATTAGTAAATAACTTTACATGCACTCTTGATTGGCACAATATTTTTTCAAATAATGGTCTAAATTTTTCAACAATTTATTACAATGCGTAACAGAAGGTCTTCTTGACCTTATTCCTCGGAAGATGTTCAAACCGAGTGCTAATTCCACCGCTATCCCACACTTTCTTAAAAACAGACTTAAAAAGTTACGGAAACAGTTTAAAGATCCTTCTGTGAGCTCATTATCAGTTCATCTAAGAATCGTTGAAATATTTGAACTAGCTTCGAAAGTGAGGCTCGAGCGATTAATGACATGAATGCTTCTAAATCAGTTGCTCAGATCTTCCGTCAGAGATCATCTGCTAAGTCCCACCAAGTCATTCCGCCCTTGCTTAGTGCTAGCGATGCCTTCATTACTGATGATTCAGGCAAAGCAGAAATTTTAACTTCGTTCTTTGTCAAACATTTCACCATTGAAACTGATCCGATCCCTTTAATTCCTTCGTTGTCTGATGCTTCTCTTAGCTTCATTAATTTTTCTCCTAAATGTATTCCAAAACTGATAAGCCATCTTCCTAACTCTCACTCAGTAGGTACGGACAATATCCCAAACTCTCTTATAAAACAGCAAAGAGATTTTCCTCCTCTGCTTAGCAAAATCTTTTCAGTATTTCTCGTTAATGGCTTCTTCCCTGACTATTGGAAAACTTCTATTATTATTCCAGTATTAAAGTCCGGCTGTCGTTCTGACGTACAGAACTATCGAGGTGTCCATAAAAGACCCTCTCTCGCCTAAATCTTCGAAAAAATTATGGCCGTAAAAATTACCGAATTTTGCATAGCCAATCAAATTATTAGCCCTTCCCAGCATGGTTTTTTACCAGATCGATATTGTGAAACATGTCATCTGTCGTTTCTCGACCTACTTACCTCTCTTCGTAATGATCACCTATCTGTTGTCGTAATTTATTTTGATTTAGTAAAGCCTTTGATAAAGTGCCACATAAAAGACTCTTGGTTAAATTGGAAGCCATGGGAATTCGCAGTCCACTAATAGACTTTCTCAGGTCATACCTGTCTAATCGTAAGCAAAAGGTTTTGGTGGGATCTTCACTTTCCAGTGAAAGTCCTATTGTAAGCGGTGTCCTACAAGGTACCGTTTTAGGTCCTCTTTTGTTCTTGCTTTACATAAATGATATTTCAGCAGCAGTTAAACATTCTCAATCATTTATTTATGCCGATGATCTCAAATGTGTATATTCTTTCAATAAATCTACGAGCCTTCATTGCCTGGGGCCAATCCATGCTGACTTGCTTGCTCTCTCAGCTGGGAGCTCAAAATGGCTAATGGAATTCTCTCCGTCTAAATGTCGTTATATGTGTTTTGGACCTGATAGGCTACCCCAACCAGTGGTCTTTCAAGGCACACCTATGACTGAATGTACCACCATCAAGGATTTAGGTTTAAGCTACACTAGTAATCTTGATCTCTCGCCGCACGCTGACAAAATTACAGCTAAAGCTGCCCAGATTTGTGGCTTTATTTCTTACAATTTCTATCTTCCTGAAATTAAATTAAGGCTCTATCGTATGCTAGTACTTCCCATTCTCGAGTATTGTTGCCCATTCTTTGGTTGGATGAATGAAGCCAGTCGTTTAAAAATTGAAAATGTCCAAAGACGTTTTTCAAAAAAACTTTTAGATAGGGAACATCCCAATATCTCCTACTCAAATAGATGCCAGCTAATTAACCTAAAATTTTTATGGGTTCGAAGACTAGAAGCGGGCTTCTGTCTCCTCTTTCGCATTAATCATAGTTCAAATTTTCCTCGGATTTCAACACTTATCCCTAGTAGTCGTCCATACAATCTTCGCAACTCGTCTCTAATTATACCTCCTCCAGCGTCCTCCACCTCTAAGCGCTCCCTTTTTTTCGCTTCCAGGTATACTTTCCTCTGGAATAACCTTCCAATAAATATAAGATCTTCAGAAAATCTACACACCTTTAAGAGAAGGCTACGCCTTTATGCGAATACTGACTCGATTAAACCTTTATTTTCCTCATCCATCCCAGGCAACTTTTTCTATGACACTGAGAAAGGGTCACTGGGAATTTAGCATGCCGCTATTAAATTTCCGTATCTGTTCACGTTTCCTTCCTTTATGAGTAGTCTCGCTACCTAAGATCCCTCACCAGAAATGTTAATTATTCCAATTTTCAGTTCATGCATCGTGCCCTCACAGAATGCGCACCATCGATGCTCTTGGCGAAACCTTCTATATTCGCCATATACTAGTAGGCTGGTCGCATCTCCCTTCCCCATGCTCGGATGGACTCGGTTGAATGAAACCGACCGCATCTGGGTTCCTATCAGCTCGAGACTGGTTTTCAATTTCGCCACCTTTTTTTCTTATTCAAGGCGATACAGGCCAGTCCTGACCGACCCCCCTACGTACCATTTTATGAAATCCGTTACACAATGCCATATACAGCTGACATTTATTTCGGCCATGTTGATGTCCGACTATATTCCATTCTGTACCGCCACATGCAGGCCAGTCCTCCCTGCATTTTTCAGATGCTATTTTTTTGAGGTTTTTTTTCTCCTGTTAAATTATTACAATCATTTTTAAATTTTGCTTTGGAGTTTTTTTCACCCCTCCTTTTTCATTTTGCTTAACGGACTTCTAATCTCAAAAGCGATGTATTGCACTTTGTACAGATTTTGCCTACCTCGTCTAAAATTCGCATGTAAATTTATTTTTACTTGCTTTGATGGGAGCCCGACGGGTCTTTGATAAAAATAATTGAATTGAATTGAGAGCAACAAAAATGGTTAGGCGTCAAATTTCCGTTCCTTACGCAACCCGTCTAACAAGTCTGCACCTCCTTCCTTTGAGGTGTAAGCAACTGCGCAGGGATCTCTTACAAGCATTCCACATTTTAAAGGCATCGTATTGTAGTCTGGCCCTCGAGGTCATGCAATAAATTGCGCATTCAGCAGGCAAGACTAGACGTGCAAAAGGCTTCCCTCTCTGCTATCAAACCGTGAAATGCTCTCCTCGCAGATTTTGCTATGTTACAATCGATAGAAAGATTTAAAAATGAGCTTGGTATATTTATGGTCCGAAGCGAGCGTAATACTTTTTCGAAATAGTCACCTTTAAAATTCATTCCCAATTTGCCATATTTTTAAGCTCATTTGAACCATTTTAGCCCACATGGTTCCTATGTGCTCTGCACGCAATTTTGTGTTGCAAATAGGGCGTTTAACGCTCATGCTTATTCTCCTAAATAAGCCGAAGAAGACGGAACGAAAGTAATAAAATACAAGAGGAATTGATGGACTTGAGTGCGACCAAGCACTATGTTACCAACTCTTTGTTGTGTTTCAACCTCTAAATCTGCAGAGTCATTGGAAAAGTGACTATCTTCACTTTGCTAATATTAACAAGACCTCAATGTATATCTTCATACGCACTTTAGGTTGACGCAGAAAATTTTCAAATAATGATCCAGATATTCTCCCGATTTTTTTGTAGTGCCTAACAGAGGCTATTCTCCTCTTTGTTCCATTAAAAATGTTTAAATTGAATGCTGCTTCTTCCGCTGTCTCAGACTTACTTAAAACGGACTTAAAAAGTTATAAAAAAGCTCATTTCCACTTCATTTGAAAATCACAGAGATATTTAAATTAGCTTCCGAAATTAGACTCGACCAAGATAGACGTAGGGAGCCTTTGACAAGTAGTGACGTAAGTCCTTCCAGCCCTGTTGCTAAAGTCTTCCGTCTCAGATCGTTTCATTAAATCATTTAGCCTCAGCTCAGTCAAAGCAGTATCTTCATTATGGGGGCGCCGGTCGAAGCAGAACTGTCAAACTAAGTCTCTGGTAGTCATTCTACCTCTGAAACTGACCTCATCCCCACAATTCCTCCGTCGTCCAGTGGGCTTCCCACCGCCATTAATTTCGCTCATGCAAGCACTCAGAACTAGATTAGTCAGCTTGTTAACTTGCATTCAGCGGGGACTGACAGTGCCCAAGGGGCGCTATAATAAACCTATTCTGTCAAGGTCCCGAACTTTCTTACTGAGCAGCGAAAAGATTTTTCTTCTTTGCTGAGCGAAGTATTCTCTGTCTTTCTCGAGAACGGTCTCTTTCCTGATTGTTGGAAAGCCTCTATTTTTCTACCACTGCTTAAATCTGACTCTCTTTCTGACATTCAAAATTATCGGGATATTCAATAAACGTCCTCTCTCTCTCTCACTCTCGTTAAAGCGTTTGAAAAGGTGACTATAAATAAATAATGTTATTGAAAAACGCGTGAAGTTCCATCATAGCTAGTAAATTTTAAAACAAGTAGACAGGTTCTTGCAGTATTCAATTTTCTGTTGGATTACCGCTTCCTTCAGCCGCGTATACGGTTCGTCGGCTGGAATTGGGTCAAGGAGGTCTTCGACGGTTACAGCTGCATCAAATGGGAGGGACTGCAAAACGTACGAAAAGCGGGTACGCTCGCCAGTAATGCGGCTTGTCGCAAAAAGAGTCTCGATCTGCCTGAACCAAACGCGAGAATTGCTCGGTATAAACGGTGGCAGATTAAAAGAATGGGTGTTAATGTCGAGTGAGTCTTTTTGGGAGTCGTTACAGGCCATGGTAAATAAAAAAAGGCTCGGAATGCAGGAAAAAGCGGGGTCACCAATTTTGTAGTGGAAACGTGAACCTAAAAGCTACAAACAATAATATATACAGGAAAACTAACTCCAACTGTGGGGAATTGTGTGTGCCAACAAAAAAAGGATGTACATATTCGAAGAATCAGAAAAGGAATGTTCCAGACTCACGCAAAGTAGAATCCTCTCAAGTAGCGAGATAGTATTCCGATGAGGAACCGGTTGAATAGAGGTAGTCGGTTCCACGATGATATGGTGAAGTAGGCTTGTGAGGAGGGAGTCTCCGTCAGCTCATAAGGATTGTTAAGAATGTTGAGAGGTTACAAGCGAAGGCCAAGAAATAACGACATCAGGCACACTCGAAACCAGAACACACGTTGACCGCCACAGAGTTGTTACTGTATATTTCCGTTTAGTCAAACAAATGTACAGGAAAGTGAGATGAACAAGAAAGTGTAGTGAAACAAATCAAAAATATACAAAAGCCTACAGATGAAACAGTCAAACATAAAAGCAGTTAGCGCGCAGTAAAAATTCCTTATGAAAAAAAACTAGATGAGTATTAATCGGTTGACTTTTGAGGAGAAAAATGACGGCCGCTCAAGAGGGAGGAAATGTTCGGGTCGAACGTGACGGACATGCATATGATATTTTATGAGATTCAAAACGTAAATCGTCAAAGCAGAGCTTTCCAAACCGAATGAGGTTATACGTCTCGAAGTGGCAAGACAGAGAAACCTAGACGCGATCGGACACAGTCCGCTTAGAGTTCAGCCGAGGATGGACACGCATGCTGACGATCAATTTGTCAAGGAGATGTTCCTGGAGCGTCTGCTCGCAGATGTTTAAACGATCCTGGCGTCCGGCTTTCAAGATCTTACGGTCTCACAGCTAGCTGATATGGCGGATCGACTGATAAAGGTGCAACGGTTCCAGCCACCGTCCGTTGCCCAGATCTCATCCTCATGGTCAGTGAATGAGCATTTAGTAAAGCGGGCGTCGGCCATGGCGGATGAGATGGCCTCCCTTAAAATACAGCTCGCCCGCCTAACTTCCAGTCGCTCACGCAGTCGTCGTTGTTATCGTTCGCGACCTCGAACTGCTGATACTTGCTGGTATCACACTAATTTCGGCGTAAAGGCCCGTCGTTGTTCCTAACCTTGCTCTTTTAGGCCGAAACAGGGAAACCAGTCAGCCAGAGAATAGATACGGCCGTTTTCTCTGGTTCTTCCGGCTCTGGTCGCACCTTCTATGTTTGCGACACTGCGACTCGCAGACGTTTCCTGGTGGACACTGGAGCCCAAATCATTGTTGCTCCCCTAACTGCAGCTGATCGTCGTTTCCCTAGCCCTGGTCTTCACCTCCAAGCTGCTAACTGTTCCCCCTTCACACTTTCCGTAGTCTGTCACTCACCCTGAACATTGGCCTTCGTCGGTCATTTACTTGGATCTTTTTGATTGCCGATGTCCCTCATGCAATCCTCGGTTTGGGCTTTCTTGCCGAGTTCGATCTCCTTGTTGACTGTCGACATGTCCGTTTCCTCGACCGCACAACCGGTCTGTTTGTTCGTGGTCTAACTCCCTTTACTGCTCCCACCAACTAATCTGTCTTGAATACGGATATTGGTAACCCCTTTCGGCAATTGCTTCTTAGTCACCCCAACATAATTAACCCCCAGTTTCACAGTGGTGAGGTCCAACATGATGTTGTGCACCATATCCGCACCTAAGGTCCTCCTGTGTTTGCTCGACCGAGACGACTAGCACCGGAGCGTTTCCAGGCCGTGAAGGCGGAGTTTGAACACATGCTGCAACTGGGAATAATTCGACCGTCCGTGAGCCCTTGGGCGTCTCCACTGCAAATGGTGCCCAAGGCGACTTCAGGCGACTGTCGACCCTGTGGCGACTATCGTGCCCTCAACTGCGCTAGTAATCCTGATCTGTACCCCGTTCCTCATCTTCAGGATTTTGCTGGAGCCTTTTTCGTCAAAGCGATTTTCTCGAAGATTGATCTGGTGCGTGCTTTTCATCAGATTCCAGCCGCCCCTGAGGACATCCCTAAAACCACCGTCACCGCACCCTTCGGTTTCTTTGAGTTCATCCGCATGCCGTTCGGTCTAAGTAATGCCGCCCAAACGTTCCAGAGGTTCATCGATCATGTCTTACGTGGCCTGCCCTTTGTGTATGCCTACATTGATGACCTCTTGGCGGCCAGCCGGAATGGCGAAGAACACAAAGAGCATCTTGCCTTGGTTTTTAACCGTCTTGACAAGTTTGGCGTTGTCATCAACCCCTCCAAGTGCGTGTTGGGTGTGCCTTCACTCGAGTTCCTCGGCCATCAGGTCTGTTATGTATGCAAAACAGAAGGCTAATTGGAAATAGGACGTGTACTGAGTACGATAGACAGCACAAGTGAGGAGGCTTGTGGAAACGGCCGGGTATATGGCTAGGGGGACTGTCATAGGCTGATGGGTGGCCAATCAGCACAAAGACGGTGTGAACAGGGGGCCATGACCTTGATCGTTCGCTTGTCACGCGTTTGTGGCATGATGTCCTGACGGCCCGGACAACATACGCTGCATCCCTCCACCCTAAAGTGGGGAGCATGAGGGGGAGGGAGGGGAACAGTATAGGTAATAGTGGATTGTCAGACAATGTTCTAATAAGATTCGTCCTGAAAGCGTTGGACAGGTTTGCGGTTTCAGGTCGATCTTCTAAGGGCGGTATTTTCTACCTCTGCGCCGCTTTGTGTAGTCACTGGCTCCTCTGCTCCTAAGCTAGTGCTGGCCGGGGTAGAAGGAGGTGGAACATAAGCCTCGGTGGATGGCGTAGTGCCCTGTGCAGGAAGTAGGGGCTCAGTCCTCGGGATGTCAGGATCCCTATCAAGGGTTGCTGGCAGTTCTAACTCTCCGAATTCTCCACTTACTGTGTCCGTTCGGCTGCGAACTTGGTCCAGATGTCGACGCACAATTCTCCCACCTTCTAACTCTAATTCCACTATTTGACCCTCGCTTTTTCGAACTACCGCTGGACACCAGTTCGTTTCGTGTTCCAGTCGCGTGTAGACACTTTCGTTGGGCGCGACGACTCGTGGTCGGGTGCTCACATCATATCGTTCTTTCATCTTCGTCTGTTTTGCAATGACCCTATCCTGCGTTGATGGATTAAGCAGGTCGAGTCGTGTGCGCAACTGCTGCTTGAACATCAATTCTGCAGGCGAAGCACCAGTTGAGTCGTTAGGTGTTATGCGATAGCTGAACAGAAAGCGTGACAACTTGGTGGCCAAGTCCGCTTCTGTCTGTCTGGCTAGTCCGTGCATTATTGTCTGGACTGCACGCTCTGCGAGGCCATTTGAAGCAGCGTGGTACGGGGCAGTAGTTAAATGTCTAATTCCATTTTTCTTCATGAAATCTTTAAATTCTGCACTAGTAAAGGCCGGCCCATTGTCTGAAACGACCATTTCAGGTATCCCAAAAGTAGAAAAGACGGTTCGCAACTTGCTGATTGTAGTCAGTGAGGAACAAGAATTTCCTGTCGGAATCGCATCAATCCATGTAGTGTGGGCGTCAACTACCACCAAACCCATATGGCCTTGGAATGGCCCAAAATAATCGACGTGTACCCTCTTCCACGGCGAGTCGGGCCAGGCCCAAGGCTTCAGAGGAACCTTCGGTAGGGTCTTCTGTGTTATTTGGTACACGTGACATGCTTTCACCACGTTTTCTATATCTGCGTCAATTTTAGGCCACCAAACATAGCTGCGGACGAGAGCTTTCATTCTAAGTGTACCAGGATGAACATTATGCAGGTCTCTGAGGATGGCCCGTCGGCCTTGTGGTGACACAACTACACGATTGCCCATAATATGCATCCGTCTTGTAGACTTAACTCGTTCTGACGGCTGAAGAATGGTTGAAAATCAGAGGAGGTAGAGGACGGCCAGCCAGATTGTAAGGCTCTTTTGACCCGACTTAGGAGAGGGTCTCTCGATGTCCACTGTCGAATTTATTGACAGGTTACAGGCGCGTTGACTACATTCTGCAAAAGATTCACGGTCTCAAAAACAGGTGCCCCGTTAATGCCATCGTCCACGATAGGAAGCCTACTCAAGGCGTCAGCCACTACGTTTGCACTACCTGTAACGTATTTCATTGCATACGTGTAAGCAGATCAAGTGAGTACCCATCGTTGCATTCTTGGAGAGGACATCTGTTGTATCCCTAGTTTTTCTCCCAGCAAACCTAAGTGGGGTTTGTGATCAGTGTGGATTTCAAAGTGTCGGCCAAAAAGATACAGGTGGAACCGATGTAGGCCAAACATTATTGCTAAGGCCTCTTTGTCTAGTTGCGAATAGTTGGTTTCCGCCTGTGACATGGTTCTTGATGCAAAAGCAATCGGCATCTTCGAACCCGAAGGCATTCGATGCATGAGAACCGCACCTACGCCGTACGGAGACGCATCACATTTCAGTATGATAGGCTTTTCGGGGTCATAGTGAACTAGGACAGATGAGGAGGTAAGAGCCGCCTTTGCCTGTTCGAAAGCACTTTGTTTGACCTCCGACCAGTGCCAGCCACAATTCTTTTCAAGTAGTCGATAAAGTGGTTTGAGAATTGTAGCCGATTGATTCATAAAGCGACTAAAGTGGGTGACCAACCCCAGGAATGAACGCAATTGACTAGTATTGTTGGGGCGCGGCGCCGTCTTCAAGGCTTTGAGCTTATGTTCGAGTGGATGGAGGCCAGTTTTATCCACCCTGAAGCCCAGGTATTCTACCGAGTCGGCAAGGAAAGTGCACTTATCTTTCCTGAGTTTAAAACCGGCGTCCTCTAAACGTCCTAACACGATGTTTAGAGTCTCTAGATGACTATGTTCAGATGGGCCGGTAACTAATATATCGTCAAGATATGAGCAAACGTGAGGTATATCCTTCACGAGATTATCAATCAAGCATTGAAATAAACCGGGAGCCGAACTTACTCCAAATGGTAGTCTTTTATATCGAAATAAACCCCGATGCGTATTGATGGTGGTGGCGTCTCGGGATTCAGTATCTAGGACGACTTGGTTGTAGGCATGCTTTAGGTCCAAAGTTGTAAATTGATGACCACCCGAGAGAGATGCGTACAGATCCTCGATGCGCGGGAGAGGATAAGGGTTCAGTTTAGTTGCTGAGTTGATTGTCAGCTTGTAGTCGCCACAGATACGCACAGAACCATCGGTTTTAAGAACAGGAACTATTGGGGCTGCCCATTCCGAATATTGCACGGGCTCAATAATATCCGCTTTCTGTAGGCGATCCAGCTCTTCTTCGACCTTCGGTGCGAGTGCATAGGGGACTGTACGAGCTTTAAAGAACCGGGGCCGGAAATCTGACTGAAACTGAAACTAAACAGGTGGACCGCGGTAGTGGGTAGCTGAATCGTCACGAACTAGATCCTTATGATTTACCAAAACTGAATCTAAAGCCGGATTTACACCAATCCGATGAACATAGGATAGCACAGAAGGCACACATTTAATCCAATTTCGCCCAAGGAGATTCGGTTGCTGGCTTCCTCTCACCACATGAACCGGCAAGTAATGAAGTTCTCCATCATGTTCGACTTCGGCTGTAAAGATCCCTCGAACGTCTACGTTCTGTCCAGTGTAACTACGGAATGTTGAGCTAGCCGGTAGAAGGGATGTTCTTTGGCCAAAAAGGTAGCGGTGTAGGCAGCAATGAAGACATGTTCGTTAGACTGTGTCGCCAATGTTATGTATGCAAAACAGAAGGCTAATTGGAAGTAGGACGTGTACTGAGTACGATAGACAGCACAAGTGAGGAGGCTTGTGGAAACGGCCGGGTATATGGCTAGGGGGACTGTCATAGGCTGATGAGTGGCCAATCAGCACAAAGACGGTGTGAACAGGGGGCCATGACCTTGATCGTTCGCTTGTCACGCGTTTGTGGCATGATGTCCTGACGGCCCGGGCAGGATACGCTGCAAGGTCGACTCTGAAGGTTTGCGTTCCCTCCCCTCCAAGGTTGAAGCAGTTCGTAATTCCCCTCCACCAACTTCCAAGCGTCAGTTACTGCGATTCCTCGGCATGGTCAATTTTTACCGTCGGTTCCTACCGAACTGTGCTGACCTCATGCTGCCGCTCAGCAACATGCTGTCTGGTCCCAAAGGTCCCCTCGAGCTGACTGGTGAAGCACTGAATGCTTTTGAGAGAATCAAGAATTCGCTTGCCGATGCCACCTTACCCACGCATCCTGCTCCCAAAGCTCAGCTGTCTCTGATGGTAGATGCTTCGACCGTAGCCGTAGGTGCAGTCCTTCAACAACACCTTGCTGGTTCGACTCGACCACTTGCCTTTTTCTCCAAAAAAGATTTTACCAGCTGAGACACGCCATAGTACCTTTGGCCGTGAACTACTTGTCATTTACCTGGCTGTGAGGCATTTTTGCCATTTCCTTGAAGGTCGTGACTTCACTGTTTTCACTGACCACAAACCGTTGACTTTTGCACTTCGTTCCCACTCCGACAAGTACAATCCGGGGGAAATCGCTCACCTGGACTACATCTCCCAATTCACCACCGACATCCGCCACATTGATGGCACGAAAAATGAGGTGGCTGATATGCTGTCCAGACCCTCACTGTCTTCCCTTCAACCCACGCACGGGATCGATCTTTGTGCCATGGCAGCTGAGCAACAGCGAGTCGGTTGTCCTGGTGACGAGTCTGTTAGTTGTCTCCTACTCAAAGACGTTCCTCTGATCACCGGCTCTGGTATCATACTTTGTGACGTCTCGACTCCAGTTCATCGCCATTTCGTGCCTGCCTCGGTGCGTCGAGCTGTTTTTTCAAACTCTCCACGGACTCTCCCTTCCTGGGATTCGAGCCTCACAGAAGCTCCTCAAGGAAACGTTTGTCTAGCCTGGCATGAACAAGGACGTCAAAGCTTGGGCTCGGTCGTGTCTGAGCTACCAGCGAAACAAGGTACAGCGCCAAAACAAACCCCACCAGGCACTTTTCCCAGTCACGACGCACGGTTCAGCCACGTGCACCTGGATGTCGTAGGCCCCTTGCCTCCATCCAATGGTTTCACCCACCTTCTTACCTGTGTCGATCGATATACCCGCTGGGCTGAAGCTATTCCTTTGCCGAATACGCAGGCTGAAACCATCGTGAAGGCCTTCGTCAGTCGTTGGGTCGCCATGTTCGGTGCCCCATCCACGGTTACGACTGATCGTGGTGCCCAGTTTGAGTCGGCACTCTTCCAAACGCTACTCAATTTCGTTGGCTGCACACGCATTCGGACGACAGCCTACCACCCAGCCGTCTACGATATGGTTGAGCGTTTCCATCGCCAGATAAAGAACATCCTGCGTGCCGTAGAAGACCCAGGAAACTGGTCGGATAACCTTCCTCTTGCACTCCTCGGCATCCGCGCAGCTCTGAAGTCGGATCTGGGCTGTAGCAGAGCTGAATTGGTTTTCGGCACTACCCTCCGACTGCCAGGCGAGATGATTACTGCAACCTCTCGTGGGGCCGACGAGACTCCTGACAATCTAGTGCACCGTTTGCGGCAATTTATGCGCTCGCTTTCCCCGGTTCCACCTCGAACTCCAATGACTGGGTCTTATATCGAAAAAGATTTGGGCAAGTGTACTCACGTGTTCGTCCGGTGTGACCGTGTGCGCCAGCCGCTGGAGTCACCCTACGAAGGACCGTCCCACGTGCTCGCGCGCAACACCAAGACCTGCCGGATTCTTCGCGGTGACAAGGAGGACGTGGTCAGTGTCGATCGAGTCAAGGCTGCTGTTGTAAAGGAGCCGCCGGACTTGCCACAAGGACAAAATGTGCTGATCCCCTAAGCCCTGTTGTTTCATCTCCCCTATCCCCTGCTCATTCACCCTGCCCACTGCCTTGCCCTTCCCCTCCCTTACCCTCCACCCCTCCGTCCCGCATTCTTGCTCTACCTACATGTCTACAGCATCCAACTGCAACATCATCCTCCACCATAACACGCAGTCAACCCTCTTCGACTGTACCTCCTATGTACATTACACGCAGTGGCCGTCACGTTCATTTCCCCGATCGTTTAGTTACGCATTTTTTCTAGACTTATGCATATCCTCCGGCGCCGTATCCCGTCGCCCTCCGGTCTACAAGGGGGGGTACTGTGGTGAGGTACCTGACTAATTTACCTTTGACAATTTAGTCCCATTTTCATTGACCGCATTGCTTGTTTGAATGTGACGAAAAACGACACACCTGCACAACCCGACTTGCTAGCGTGCTCCTCTGTCGTGGTCTGTTTTCAGCTTTTTTAACGTTCAAAATCTCTATATTATTCACTGCTCCGTTTTACTTGCTGCTTTTAAGGCAAGGGGCTCGTGAGATATAACTCGTTGGTTCGTGAGAACATTACTATTTACGACAGACTAACCCTAACTTCATGAAAGAAATTGGCGACTGATAATATCCGATACCGTGTAACCCCTCCCTTCTTGACGGTCGAAAGCTTGTCGCCAGCAGTTTTTTTTCCTGAACCCTCCAATCCATAAAACCACCATCAACTATATTTTTTTTCCTTTTCCACAAGAGTTTTTTTTCACTGCTGGCCGGATTTGTGTTTAACGCTTCCCTGACAATGCATGTAAACTGGCATTAAATAAAATTACTATTACTTTTGAAATGAAGTATAGCAGAATTAACCTTATCAGAAGACGACAAACAAGATGGTCAAACTAAGTTTACTGTTTTGCTTGAACAGCCTGGTATCCCACAATGCCTCCGCAGCGAGTAAGTGATGTTTCCTTTGTGATGAACTTGACTCGATGGATCGTTCTCGGACAACGGTGGTGAAGCACCTCTTACATTCCCGCGTTCAGCATGGCACTGACAGACGCACAGGATCGCATGGATAGGTGTTCAGTAAAAGCTGACTGTTGTCGCGATGGAGCGAATTATAGGGTGTAGGATCCCACAACTAACTTAAGCTGGCCTGTGGACCATACCATACGTTGGATGGTGATAGAGGGGGTTTTATGGATGGGGCAACAGGCAGGACGGAGAGCAAGAAGACACAGAAAATAGATGAATTTCTGCGGAAAGTTTTATCGTACGCTGTCATTTAGCAAAGAAAATTAGCGCGATAATTAAAAAATAAACAAAAAGTAGTCCTGAAAAGATAACGGACTTTGAATAGAGCGCCTCTGGTAAGTTTACATTTAGTCAAGAAAGGAAGACTTCAAATAATGGGAACGGTAAATAACAAGTGATGTTTATGGCCACACTGAATTGTAGGGTATACTTTGTAGTTGCCATCTGCCTGGGAATCCTACACCTTATCGTTACCCGACGAAGATATCGCGAAAGGTCTATGGCATCTTCTAGAGGCTTGTAAACCTGCGAAAAAATAAATAAGTGTGATTATGCTTGGGTTCAACGTTTTGTAAATATGTGAAGCGCACAAGTTTGGATGGAAAAAGATATACGTCCAGTTATGCAGTCTAAGGTGACCAGTTTTCGTGGGCGGAAGTGGAACATAATTTTTGTCAGCTTAGCTAGTTAGTGATGAACAGTTCTCTGAAGCTGGGAAGACGTCCGAAAGTCTCGCATAGTCACTCAGCGGTGGGTTAGGTGTCAACAATAAATTCGACATTCACATGACGAAGAAAACCGCCCAATGAGAGGACCAATCACGTGATTGGAGAAGTTAGTATAATGATACATATGCTTTTGCGAACTATTCCATGGGAAGTGCTGTCTAAATCCAGCATCTACACACTAAGTGACTTTTCCGTCGTTAGGCCGCACAGGCGGGAAGGATAATTGGGGGATTTAGTGCTAGATGCCTGGATAAATCAGTCAAACATCTCACATACTGATGGCATTTCAGTCATGACTACTCGTTGATGACTTTTTCTTTAACTGGGGCTGCAAAGCGAAACCAGATTTCCGTGGTCAGAGCTCCTGATGAGTCCGGTGGTCACAGCTCCGCGACATTAAGGCATCTTGCCTGAGACATTTTGTAAGCAGATGGGAGGTATGCCCTCAACCTTACTTGGGTGAGGACATGGTCTAACCCCCAGCTTTTACTAGCTACGTTGCCAATCATCTAGTTGATCTCATGCTCTCAGCGAAATCTCGAACTAACAAGAGTACAGTCAGTCTGATAATTGGCGAGACCGTAGTTTGAATAACAGAAAGTGCTTGTGGTTATGCTGGAAACATACGTTATGACAACCCGTGCTGGTCAGCGGTGCTTTGAACCTTTACCATTGTTATACCGAAAAACATGTCAGAAGCGAAGAAGAAACAGCTACTTGATGAGCCATCTTGCGCATCCCTGTCATCATCAACAGTCATCATATTATGACGAGGAAATCCTTTAACCAGTTCGTCCGGCTGTAAACAGGTTTCTTCATTGCAGTAGTCGGAAGTGAGCGTTAGTACGCAGACAAAAACGACGCGTATGTTAGTAAAGCACCCTTAAGAGCAAGCCGGTAACTGATTGACTACCACAAAGGCAATGCTTGACTTGTCGGCTTTAAGAGAACGGTTGCCAAACCGTTCGCACAACAGGAGTCTTGGCGACCGCTGTAGTAGAGAATGACATGGGAACTGACCTCCTCCCCCCCCTCTAGGACCTTAATCTTCGGAGAGCCCAAGTTTCGCGTTCCCACGTTGCATCGACGGGGACAGCGAACTGCAGGGATTGACGTACCTCCCGCCTACCCCCCAAATGTGATATTTTGCTACTAAGAACCCAGAAACCGGCCTGCTGAAACCTAACGGCTACGATCGGTATTCGGAGACCTGTGCAAAGGGGGACGGACAGGATTCTTATGGAAATAATGACACAAGTTAACAAATGAGAGGTTTATAACACCATGTGCGGAAACATTGCGCTACACGTTAACTTACAAAAGGAGAAGCTCCCATGAAGAAGAGTAATCGACGTGCAGGAACATCTCGAACAAACCTGGTATGTGCAAACAGTTACTTTTGATAAAAGATCGTAATCACCAACGACATAGCATTAGGCGTACCAGCGGAGTGAGTATTGAGTGTCAGCCAACAGACCCTTGCACTGACGAAAAGTCTGCATGCAGATGACCCGGGAAAATACAAAAAAACGTTCGAGTGAATTAGGGCTTGAAAGTAACGTTGACAGTAAAACAAGATGCACAAGCCCCAGAGAAGTGACGGACAAAGTTCTGTCTAGCCGGATGTCTTGGCTTTAACTAATGGACACTGTTGTTGCCTCAGAAAAACACCAAATACAGGGTACCGAGCAGCCTGGCAATCCCCCAATGATAGTTTCCGAGACCAAAGAGTTACAAGGTGCGCAGGGTCTAACATTTTGATAGAAATTCCAGCATCTTTGTTAGCTCAAATGCACAGCAGGCCGACCGCCAGCAAAATGGGCTAAGGCATATAGAACGGTGTGGACGGATGAATAGAGTTCACGGTTTTAAAAGAGAGGATGGGTTTAACTGAGCAAGAACAAAGTACACTAAAAACTTCTCTGAGCAAATGAAGCATTAGAATGAGAATACACCAAAAGCAGGAGAACTCAGGCGTAAAAGGTCAGACGCTGAAGTCAGTCGCCAAGTACAGAAGGCATAGGAAGACTTATCACAAAAGGGCAATAAACACGGCGGTGGGTGCGAAACGCATGATCAGGGCGATTTGGAGGTGGCGGAGGTGGGAGAGGAAAAAAGGAACTGGCCGACCGAGTCAGATGGGGCAACGTTTTCCAGGGACTGGGAGCTGGTGGGGGTTAAATCCTGGTGCTTCGGCGGAGACGCGGACGGATCAACTGCCTTGATCGGAGTCGCCTGCATCTGTAGAACGGCTTGTTGAGCACGTTCCCATAGGCGCCGACACTTGTCCGCCCGCTTCGCTTGCAGAGCGGCATAGGCGCGAAGGGTTGCCGCAAGGTCAGCGCTCTGTTGTTGTTCAAAGAATGCATACTCAGCGCTTATAGAGTTGGCAAAGTCCGTTTTCAGCAACTACAGGAACATAAGAGAAACAGTATCTTAATTCTGAGACTGCGACAAGGTGAATCTACGAAGATAAGCCGCCAGCAGGGGAAACCCAGCTAGTTCTTAGGGGTTGGCAAATCGGAAAGAGGACCATAATAGCAAACAATTAAAACAGTTGGACTAGGATCAGACGTAGACAAGGTTTGGAAACTGCATAGTAACAAAAGTTTCCAGTTCTTTACTAAATGTGACAAAGACTGCCGCATTTTAGACAGCCAAAAAGTCCACAGAAAGGAGTGGGCAGCAGAGTTCGGCCTAATTGCCTTCTAAAATCGATCACTAAATTTACGTTTGAGGATAATAAATGATGGAAGTTCGCTATTCCCGAGCTCAGAAGCTCTCTAGAAAGTGATCTCCTAGACCGGGACAAACGAATTAATGATAATTTTTGCTAATGGGACATGGCTGGTAAAGGGGCCAAATGGGAACTAAAAACCTGCACTGCAAACCACCAGTCCATCAACGGAAATTAGGCGCACAAAAATGACCCAAGGTTGGAAGGGGGGGGGGAGCGAAGGTAACGGAACAATAGCTCATACTTCCAGTTCGGCTAGATGAGAGGTGACCTCCTGGATGCGATCTGAGATGATGCCTTTGGCCATCTCCACCTCCGCAGTTGAAGGGCTGGCGGCAGACGATTTGTTACGATCGACGGGGGAGGCAGGGCCGCCAAAGACAGACTTCAGATTCTGTAGCACACTGTTTTTTGCGCTGGAAACAGTACCAACCACGCTGGGTATTAAGTTTGGATTCGTTCCAGTCTGGTAACAAAAAACAGGTGTGGGGGAAGACAGCATTAAAGGCGGAACGAGGAGAAG